CTGGCTCGTACTCGAGTACCTGGTGGAAACATCACCTCCTTGGGCTGGGCCTTCTTACATTCTACCTATTTACACACACACAAACACACGCACACACATAGACAAACCATTAGACTCTGTTGGCACAGGTCTGTCTCAGCTCTCAGCTGTTTTAGGTGTTTTTCTGTTTGACTTGCAGAGCTAGATATTTTACTTAACACTTTCTGTCTTAGAAAAATCAAACTCAGTAGCACACAATCTTCCTCTATCTGCATGAAAATGGAAAATGGACAAGGCCAAAGGCAGCATGTTCCAAAAGTAATATACACACTAAATACTTGGTGAGATCTTTGCAGCAGTGACTGTGCTCTGTTGTTGGGACCAGGATGTCATGTCACTTTGTAAAATGTAGTTTTGTTTGACCAAAAGAGAGATAAATCACTACACTAAAAACTCACTCAGGCGTCTCAGACCAGTGAATGAAACATTTGACCCTGGGGAAGGATGTATGGTGTGTTACTGTAAAAAGGCAAACATGGTGAGTTAAAGTGTAGCCCACCACCATTCAATTCCATCTGCAGCACTAATCTCTCTGCTGCAGTAAGTTAATTTACCATCTTGGAAGACTGACGTCTCCCCTTTTCTTCATGACAGATATCACAGGGTTGTATGTCATGTGACAAACGAGCAGCGGGAGAGAGATGAAAGTCCTATTTACAACGTTTCAATCCAATGCAGAGCAGTCGACAAGGCATGGTCTTGTGTCACTGGGTTGTTCTTTGGTACGTTAAGTCTGTCCACCATGTGGCGCAATCTCTTTGCTCCACTGCCTGTTTGGCATCGGCCTGTCCATCTGTTGGTCTGTCTTCTGCTTCTCCCTACTCTCTCCACGTAAGTAAGGATTTCTGGGCTGCTGCAGCTCACGTGTCATTCTGCTGCACAAGACAGGTAGCTGTGCCAGTGCTGCGTACACCGCAACCAGGGTACGACCTGGCATCCATACAAAAGGGCTGGCACTTCTAAAATGGCAGTGCACAATAATTCACACATTCATATACAGGTTTCTAAATGCAAATTGACACGGCATTGGGGATTATGTAAAACAAAAACACATTCTGTTTTTGGAGTGAATTTTGTAGGGCAGACCCCTGGCTCGTACTCGAGTACCTGGTGGAAACATCACCTCCTTGGGCTGGGCCTTCTTACATTCTACCTATTTACACACACACAAACACACGCACACACATAGACAAACCATTAGACTCTGTTGGCACAGGTCTGTCTCAGCTCTCAGCTGTTTTAGGTGTTTTTCTGTTTGACTTGCAGAGCTAGATATTTTACTTAACACTTTCTGTCTTAGAAAAATCAAACTCAGTAGCACACAATCTTCCTCTATCTGCATGAAAATGGAAAATGGACAAGGCCAAAGGCAGCATGTTCCAAAAGTAATATACACACTAAATACTTGGTGAGATCTTTGCAGCAGTGACTGTGCTCTGTTGTTGGGACCAGGATGTCATGTCACTTTGTAAAATGTAGTTTTGTTTGACCAAAAGAGAGATAAATCACTACACTAAAAACTCACTCAGGCGTCTCAGACCAGTGAATGAAACATTTGACCCTGGGGAAGGATGTATGGTGTGTTACTGTAAAAAGGCAAACATGGTGAGTTAAAGTGTAGCCCACCACCATTCAATTCCATCTGCAGCACTAATCTCTCTGCTGCAGTAAGTTAATTTACCATCTTGGAAGACTGACGTCTCCCCTTTTCTTCATGACAGATATCACAGGGTTGTATGTCATGTGACAAACGAGCAGCGGGAGAGAGATGAAAGTCCTATTTACAACGTTTCAATCCAATGCAGAGCAGTCGACAAGGCATGGTCTTGTGTCACTGGGTTGTTCTTTGGTACGTTAAGTCTGTCCACCATGTGGCGCAATCTCTTTGCTCCACTGCCTGTTTGGCATCGGCCTGTCCATCTGTTGGTCTGTCTTCTGCTTCTCCCTACTCTCTCCACGTAAGTAAGGATTTCTGGGCTGCTGCAGCTCACGTGTCATTCTGCTGCACAAGACAGGTAGCTGTGCCAGTGCTGCGTACACCGCAACCAGGGTACGACCTGGCATCCATACAAAAGGGCTGGCACTTCTAAAATGGCAGTGCACAATAATTCACACATTCATATACAGGTTTCTAAATGCAAATTGACACGGCATTGGGGATTATGTAAAACAAAAACACATTCTGTTTTTGGAGTGAATTTACTAAAAATGTGGCTGTAACACAAACATGCAGGCTTTCCCTTGTCAGGAGTTGGAGGAGAAAAGAAAGTTGGTGAAGGCTGGTGTGTTCAAGATAAAAGCAGAAAAACAGTCTTCTCTAGTCATGGAATATATAAATAGTCTGAAATATATGATAAAAGTCAATGAACATTTCTGTTGGTCTTTATATTTTTTTAACGTTTTGACGCCGTGCGTGAGAATCATGGAACAATACTTTCATAATAAATTTATGGAAATGCCGTCAGTCGAGGACGTCGTAAACCGAGGCCCGTCTGTAAAGTCGTCTAAGTACCAGTATTTGGTGCATTTCTCACAATACCCAGACATGCTTTATATTTTTAGTGAAAATAAGAAATGGTTAGGAGACGTGGATTTGTAAACAGATGACACTTACGATGAGAGGTTTCGTCTCATGGAGAAAGTTGCTTGGGCTGGTTAGCAGAGCACTTTTTTTAGCTACTTCGCAGCTGTCGCAGCTACCCTGCACTCCCTTATCACCTGCCAGGGTTTGACATTTTACTTAAAACAGCACAGGCCGTCCTGCTGTCACAGAACGATTTGCATTTATTTAAGCAGAAACCTGACCAAATAGATCTGTTAGGAGCATGTGATCAGAATCCTCTCTCACCCAGAAACACAGACACACAGTGAGTTGGATGCCCAGTTTCCTTGCTGCGAATACAGACAGACCTCGGATGAGTCATGTCAACATTCACTCAGATGTGGGTCATTGATATTCAGGGAGAAAGGCCTTGTTTTCCTAGATGCACACCTTGCCAGGAGCCAGGATCTGTGCTGGTGTTATATCGTGAGTGTTTACCTGATTTAAATATAGGACAGAAACTAAAGGAGGTGGACGCGTCTTTAAAGAATGATCCAGACATAGAAATAGATCAAAACAGGAAGGACAGTAAAACAAGTTGAACGCAGCACTGCGAAGGTGAGACGTTATAAATTTGGCTGTGACCTACACTTGATATAAACCAAAGTTATATATAAATGTCTGCTCGTCTCTAGTAACAAAACCATTGTTTTACCCTAGAGTTTACAAAAATCAGTCCTTCATGCTTCCTCTAATATTCTGCGAAGTGACGCTGGGTTGCTGTCACACTATCCTTGCTAGCTTTAGCAAACTCAAAGGTAACAGCTAATGGACACCATCTGTTGTAATTAAACAAATAATTTATATTTTAAGTGTTTATGATGGTATATATATTTCTTCTAAGTCTTTTATAGCAAATGAAACTTCACTGGGTCACATGAAGACAGAAGAACATGAAGTCATTCCATGGATCCGGTGCTCCCTGTGGTGCCACCTCCAGAGCTCACTTTTATATTACAACATGACAATGTTCCCATCCACACTGAAGGGCTTTTAAAGATGCGAGGCCATGATCATCAGGTTCATATCAAACGGCTTCAATTGCTCTCCAACTCGGCAGGTACTCACATCGTTTAGCTTTCATGGGACATCCTGGAGTGCAGTGTGGACTGACTTCCTGTTATGTGTTCAGGCTATTTCTGTCACTATAGGAAACATTTGTTAACTTGCAGTCCAGAGGTTATGGGGTCGGTTTTCATCAGGGGAAGGAAACTTTATTATGCGTTTAATGCACCAAATATCCAAACCCCTCACTGGCCCATGTATTATTGACTATTATTATATAATAATAATATTCACTATTATTATAATAATACTACAGTAATAGTTTGGGCTATAATTTTATACAGTATTAAACAAATGTTTATTTTTCTAGAATATCAAATGTATTTTATTGAACACTAACATGAAGGGTACTTGACTCATTCATTTAAACACAGGGCTGGTTAAAAGTATTTATCTGCCGAGCTACGATTTTCACTGCTGCTGCCAAAACAGTATATTTCCATACGTTATCACATCTCGGGTTTTTTAAACAACGGTTGTTGAAGTGAGATGAGAGCAGATGTCAGTTCATCTGGCAACGCAGGATGAGAGCTTGTTTCAGAACAGAACCCTTTTAAATATATATGAGGCAGAACTCATAGGGACCGGGAGAACGCTCCCAGAGAGTAAGACCAAGACACCTTACGAACCCAGAGTGATTGACCAAGTCACTAAAGGATCCCGTCACTCACTAAATATAACAGGGAGTGACTCAGTTCTAGAGAAGTGAAGATGAGGAGCAGCAGTAAGGTGAGTGCTCTACACTGTATATCCGCAGCTCTCCACACATGGGGTGGAATTTCTGTTTGAATCAATTATTCACTAACTGTCTTAGATGACGCTAACGGAGAAAGTCTTCTTTGTATGGTACATCATAAAAATGGAGACAGGAAGCTGTTTTATTCAGATATTTAGGGCCCTGGAAAAATGCTTTACTGTTGATATTCTCCAAAACTAAGACTCTTATTACTGTTAATATTATTTTTAGAAACCCACCCATCTATCTATCTATCTATCTATCTATATAAAAATAATAAAAAAGTAAATAATAAAATCCCATTATATGAGTGGTCTATTATATGAAATGTTTTTTTCTTATTAAACATGACATCTTTCCCTGAACATCACTGTGGATTTTGTATTTGTCAAGGCTGTAACATGGGAATGGTGTCTTTACACATGATGGCAGACTGTCATCTATGCGGCAGCTCCGAGGTTTGGATCTTATGATGTTCATGCTTGAGAGAACCTGCTCTCACATGAATGCTGATATGAAGATTGACAGGGCCTACTGCAATACTGGTAACAAAAGTCAATTGTACCTAATATTGAAACATGTATTCAGCTAGATTACTACCATGGTCTGAATCCAATTAAACTGGTATTTCACCTGCTGAAGACAAAACTGAAAGGAATTGAAGGGGAGGAAAAATGTGTAGTAAACTGTATTTACAGTAGATGGAGGTAAAGTACGTATGAGAGCCGCTCTGTGATTAGTGATAATCTCTGACTCATTAAGTTTACAAGTATCTCCGTTTCACCCTTGGAAATATCCCCCTGTGTGTGTTTGCATATGTGTGTATTTGTAGGGGATTTATAAATAGTAGAACGGTCTGCACTGTCCTGTCCCTCAACCTGACAGGTAGACCTCAGCCACACAATTTCACACTTTATGGCCAGTACACATCACTACCTTCCTCCTCAGACCCAAATAGTACGAATCTGAGTGTGTGTGTGTGTGTGTGTGTACCCCCACACACCAGTAGCGTTGGAAAGAGGAAATCAAATATTAATTCTACAAACCCCACCGAGAGTTGACAAATGGAGTGGACTTACCATTTTGTTATTGATTTCATGAAAATGTATTTCACAGACTTTCTCTACGATGTCTTCACTCTCAAAAGTGATGAAACCAAATCCTGTTGAAAGACACAAAAAGGGAGCAGTTAGGGGTTGGGGAGGAATGACGAGTGAGAGTGGAGAAATATATATTTAAAAAAAATGATCACAGGACAGAACATTTTCACAGGCTACAAACTATACAAGTACATCAGTAGAGATGAGCTCAGACCACTGAAAAGAACAGGTGGACAAAAAAGACATTGTCCTCTTTAAATCAACAATATGATGAAATCTGCTCCATTATGAGGGGCACTCGAGGACCCCTTCCATAAAGAGAAAGCTGCACAAAGCTCATTAAATGAGATTCAGGGAATTGGGCTGTGCACATGAAATTAATTAAATGCGTTTTGTGTTCTTTTTATTGAAATCTCAGTGTATAACAAGCTCTGTTTTTTATGTTAATGCAAGTCTGGAAATGAAAGCTTTGTTGGCAGTGGGACTTTTGGGCCATATTTATAGGACAAAAAGCTTAACCCCATATTTTATGACAAAAGACTGGACGGCACAATAGCCTTTGATTTTGAACATGAGCAGATAGCCCTCTAGCATAGCTAAAGCTAGTGTTGAAAACCAATATTCAATAGGAAATAAAATAAAAGAGGAAGAGTCAACGACTGAAGAAGCTCGTGATGCTGACGAGGGACAGGATTTTCATTTCGAAATGGTAAATATAGCATCATTTTTCTTATATATGCAAATCACAAAACCACCAACAAAGCTTTGGCTTTGAAAACCTGAAACTGAAATTCCTATGTTTTTTTAAATCAGTTTCCCAACCTTGTTGGCTTTGAAAACCTGAAACTGAAATTCCCATGTTTTTTTAAATCAGTTTTCCCTGATCACAGCTCTTTTTTACAGTGGAGAAAGAAAATTATATTTCAGGTGAAATAAGTGAAATTGGATAATCATTTCAACACTTGAAGATCTTGAACTTGAAGAAAAAAAATCTCATGAATTAGAGGCATTGTGATTAATGAATTCAATCAAATATCAATCTTTTTAAGTTGGTTCCAGATGTCCAGGTTTTCAGCTAATCAGGGGATCAAGATCTGCACTGAATTTGTGACTAAAGATAAAGAAAAATGTCAACTGTTAAAGCTGGAACAGGAGGGGAGGAAAAAGGAGACACCATTCCCAACATCTTTACCACAATATAATGGGATCACCACAAAAGAGAACGCCATCTAGTGGTAAATGTAGACAGATACGAGTTTGACTGTGTAATTGTAACATTAAAAGTGAATATGCAGGTCCACAGACCAACTCACAGAGGAGAAGCAATGAATCAAAATAGCCCTCTGCAAAACACAGCAGTGAAACACACAGGAGAGAATTCAGAGTAAAATGGGTTTAAAAAAGAGAAGTCTCTTTGCCTGCGTGGCCATTGATTTTAATACGTTTATTTAAAGGTCTGACACAGTAGCGGTTCATCTAGAAAGAGGAACACTGATGATGCCACTTTCCAAGGATCATTACCATTTAGGAGAGATTGCTTTCATTGTGTGAACTAAATGCTGGAAGGCAGACCTGCCACTTGTGTTTTATTTATAGCTGCTGTTATAAAACCACTGTTCCCCCAGCACCTTGTGCAGACTCAAAACACACACATCCACTGGGATGTTTAGATCGTGACATCAAGCACTATGATGTAATTCTGACACCACTGACCCTTGTAATCAAGACAGGCTTTACTGATTCACCATCACCCCCCCAACCCCGCCCCCCCGCACACAGCACACATCAAGGTTTCACCTAATTGCTTACTTGCACTATAAGCGGGTGTGTAATCAAAGGATAAAGATAACGTAGCCCTTTATCTTTATCTTTTATTCATTACTTTTGTACTGGGATTATTGAAGATGAGAAAGCTCCGTGGACAGAGTGCAGAGTGCTGCTCATTCAGGTTCGCTAGAAACTACTCATTTGATTGATCAGCGTTTGGTTCTGCTAACAACAACCACAAAAGTCCCCATCATTCAGCTGTTACTGAAGAAGTAAACACATGTCAATTGAGTAACCCTGTATGCTGTCAAGGGAAACTGCATCAAGAATCTCCTTTTATCACCAGAGCATGACCAATGTGACTTTCACCAATTTTCACATGGTCAAAAAGTCCTCACTTTGTAGCGGTCTGATAATAATCCCTATTCCCTAAAAGTTGTCGCATCACGACTCGCTAACTACCGTCAAAAGTCTTCCTGACAATTTCACCACAACGTCCTACAATGGCTTTAAAACAAAGAGGCTTATTATTCTTATTATTACTGCATATATATATATACCATGTACTGTTGTACTACAGTAGATGGTAGTACAACCACTTTGTGGTGGATGCTAAATAATGCAGCCTGGCCTGCTATGGTGGTCAGCACTTCACAAGGCTTTAAGGGCTTTAAAGAGGATAGATTCACATCCTGCATGGCCTTCTACTCCGACTGGGGGGGGTACTCTATTTGGCTTTTGAGTAAAGGGCTGATCAATCCCCCAGCGTGTTGCCAGACTCCCTCCTATTATCAGGAGGATGCTCTTCAAACAAATTCCTCCAGGGATCACTTTCCGTAGGCTTAATCTTTATAAAAGTCAGGCATCAGAAATGGCATGAAAGACTGTTCTGTCCCTGGCTGAGCTCACACCTAACCACGGAAAAATCAGTAGCAGGACGAGACATATGTTTCTATATATGCACCCTGAGGGTACAGTGCAGTCAGCGCTATCACCAGTTAAGTCAGTAGAAAATATTTTTTTTAAAAATCAGCAAAACACTGGGCACACCAAATGTATTTGAAAAATCAGCAGCAGTACACATACTGTATATATACATATATATAACGAACTGTCGTTATTGACATTTTTACAGAAAATTTAAAAATTAAATACAGAAATACAGTACACTGTGTCATCTGAACATGTGACAGCCTATGGAACAGACAAGTGAAGGGGACTTTGTTAGATATGTAATTCAACATAGTACCACCCTCCCACCTGTTGGACCACGTACCAAGGATCCTGCAGTATGTCTAAACAGCTGCTCTCTCAATATTGCTTATTCCAGCGCAACATCAGACAGGGAGTGGGAGTTCATGAGGGTGACAGGGTGAAAGGAGCATGAGCCCAGAAGCTAGGCTAACAGATGGGAGATGAATGGGCCACGGAAGTTCAAGAAAAAACGGTGAAAAACCAGAAATGTTGTCCTCCTTCCATCACGCTAGATTAAACTGAAGATGAATGAAAGTTGAAAAGAAGACAAAAGGAAATTATTCAAAAAGATATTTTTTTAGACTATACTTTAGTCGGACAACCTAAACAAATCACAATTTAATTTTTTATATGTGCATTTTTCGCTTTAAACACACTGACACACACCATCAGTTGGACCTAACTGAAGCCTTGTCTCTTGTTGTTGATCTTTAGAAGTTTTTCCTTAATACCTATTTGTGATTGCCAGTTGACCAGTTAACCAGTTAACATGGATTTGTGTTTAATTGTGTGATTTTTCTTTTTTCTTTTCCAATCAGGAATTTACAAGAATTTGTGTTGTGTGTGTTTTTACGTCAGCTCTTTCAGAGGTAACAAAATCCCGTGGTTATGAGGCTGATGAAGACTGAATAGACTCTGTAGGAATGAAAAATTGCAAAATCAGTTTAATAAATATTGTAGCATACCCATCAGGTATCTCCATTTTTTGAGCACATGTGCACATTGGTAAACTGTCAGTGGAAATAAAACACATTAGGGCTATGTATTAGCTCGTGAATGAGCACCAAAACACATCAATGCTCTGTCGGCACCACCCGCGCTGTCCTCATCCATCACAATTTAGCCTGGCCTTCCACTGGCTGTCAAATTTGCTCTGGGCAATTCACTTAGACAGCTTCAGCTCAGCCAGAAGATTTTACTTACCATCATGACGGCAACTGGCTCTGTCTCTCAGACGTATAGAAAACAAATGCAGTGTCCTACGCCACACCTGGATTTTGCATTCATGACTTTTAAATATGCTCTTTACTGTACTTTAGTAAGGAGAGAAGGATTAGTATTAGCTGGCTGAAGAATGGAGACAATGAAAAGGAGAGGAGGAGAGATGAAGGACAGGATTTGCTGAAAAATTAGTGTAAGATGAGTAAAAAGGCAGGTGGTCGAGGACAGTGGTGATAAACGTGTCACAATCTTCAAGAATAACAGGATGCCTCATAAATAAAGCAGTCTTTTAGGGTGACTAAAAGCACTATAGCAGTATCAAGGTTTTGTGCTGCGTAAAATAACCATGTGCAAATGTCCTGGGGGGTTAGGGTGACCCTGCAGATGACATAGTGCCCCCCCAGAATGGAAGTCTCAGAGAATATGAGAAGAAGCTGTTCCATTTGTGTGTGGTGTGGGGGTGTGTGGGGGCGTCCTTATAGTAAGAACCATTATCACCGTCATTAACTCGGAGGACAAAAGAGGACACCTGGATTTGCAGAGCCAAAGACAATAAAGCATTAGAGGAGAAACATACAGTGTTTCAAACGTCCTCTCGTCTAAACCTCACCCTCAAATTACAAAAGGAAGGTGTGATAATTATCCGTCTATTTATGCATGAAAGACAGAACAATGACTCAGAAGATCAACCTAATCCGGTTAACAAATGATTTTGAAAATGACCTCAAACTGTTGTCAAGCTGCACACGGTGATATTTTGTCACAGTAACATTCAGATCAGAATGGCTGTGGCCCTGGTAACACTCACCGTGGATCACTTGTAACCTCTCTCTCTCTCTCTCTCCACTGCTCTAACTACAGCTCCCCCCACTCCCCCCGACCTTCCTCTGAGCCATTGTCATGGCAACCACATGACAGACAGGCTTCTCAGCCACTTAATGTCATCACCTTCAATGGCAAAACATGGGAAAACATACAGACCTTAATGTTTAAATTATTCTCCAATTATTTTTCACATTTACGCTTGATGTATTTTTATTTTTGCAAATCTCACCAGAGTGTCATTTAAATGAACCCATGACTGGGCCACAGTCACCTT